GATAGATAGTTAATGAACAGAATGAGATAGATAGATAGATAGATAGATAGATAGATAGATAGATAGATAGATAGATAGATAGATAGATGTGAACAGAATGAGATAAATAGATGTGGACAGAAAGAGATAGATAGATAGATAGATAGATAGATAGATAGATAGATAGATAGATAAAAATAGATTGAGGTGTATAGTGTTGTATTGTTAAACAACATTAATCTAAATATTAAAAACACGCACACGCATGCATACATTAAGACCAGTTCATTTTGACTCAATGCCACCCAGTGAGGATCGAACTGACAACAGTGAATATTGTCGGCTAGTATAATATTCTGAACCTCGTTCCACAGCATACGCCAAGCTTACAAAGAGAAGGCGACTCTCTATGCGGATGTGGTCGTGTCATCTGTGCGCGCGTATGTGCCTGGACGGTGGGTGGTACTTTCCAGTGCGCCCAAGTCGCTACCGAATGTGACACAAGGTCGGCTTAAAGTGGGTTTCAACGGCAATACCGTGGAGAAATTGCCCAGTCACTTTCAGCACTTCTTCTTTCAGACGCCGGACAATGAACTCACTCCGCTGACGAAGGAGAGGGTAATGTCTGGGTAAAACCGCCTCCCCCTTACACATACACACACGCACACACTCCAAGGATTGAGCCTGATAATTTTTAAAATCTTCCTCGCATAGGTGCTCGTGTACAGCGGATCAGTATATGTGTCTGAGCGGGGATCTATATTGTCATCATTGTCGATCCCAAGATGTAAAACAATTCGTTCACTTTGCTCAAATGTGTTGACGCATGAAAACAAAAATTAATTACTACACACCTGTCTCTAGCGGACCAGGTGTCTCTTTATTGCGTAATCAACATTATTTATATTTACTATACATAGCTCGGCTTAGTCTGACACAAGGCGACTTCCACGAGTCCTAGCTAGGAAGATTATGCTATACTAAGCAATCAATCAATAGTTGCATTCTAGTTATTCCCACCACCCACCAACTGGAAACGATCATTGATCACTTGCTCTGAAAGTGGGGCACTTTGACATGGTTACCTCGCTAGAACAATTGCGACGGAGTAGTGAGTTCGATCCTCACTGAGTGCCTCACACTTTCGGCCTTGTGCCACATCTGAGCTACGATTAGAAAATCACCATATTTAGTCACTTCGACGTTATTGAAGTTCGACCCTCACTGAGTGCTCCACACTTTCAGCCATGTGCCACATCTAAGAGAAAATCATTTTGAGCACTTCGACGTGGAGTAATGGTTAGCAAGAATGTCTTCCTAGATAAGATGTTTTTTAGTGTGTGTCCTATCGATCCGTTTCTGCTTTAGTGTTTATCTTACCGCCATGTTTGTATTTTAAATTATTAAAACATTGACCCGACATTTCCATATATTAAAAGACATTCAGAATGTTTTTATTTAAAGGATTCAAATATCTTGTTTTAGTCAAATTTCTTATTTTATTTTATTTTTTTATTTAAAATTTCCTAATAAAACAATACATAGAAAACCTCCTTCCGTTTTTACTTTCTCCCGTTACGTTAGATAATATAGGATACAAGTGTGGTGATCGGTTACACTGATCGATAGGACACCAACCAAAGCGGCACACTAGATTAATTATGACTGAAAAGTGAGTTTTATATTCACTGGGTACCCCGTACTTTCGGCCTTGTGCCACATCTAAGCTCTGCTTAGAAATCACCACTTGCATTGTGAGTTGGTGGATATTAAAAGTTAGGTGTTAGATACACCCGACACGAAACACTAAAATTAATTATTTTACCTTTAAAGCAAAAAAACAAGTTTCTTTTTTTTTTCCTAACGAAAAGCAAGCGATCTTCATTAAATATCATTACTTATTGCTTTAATCAACAAAAGCTCTATTCACTTACAACTCGTATAAGTCGTAAAACGTCTCTATGACTCGCTTTCTTCTGGCCGTCGAACGAGTCTATTGGTTCATATGATTTACGCATGCGTTCGCTGGCAAGTCTTTTGAAGCGTGACATCGACAGTCTTCAGTTCACTGTCAGTATTAAAGTTTCATGAGAGGTAAACAAACATGGCTGCCATACGATCGTTACTATTTTCATCGAGGTCAGTTTCTTGGCTAAGAATGAAACTGGGCCTTAAAACTCCAACCTTTTTCAGGCAGTTTTCAAACAAAGGTTTATATACAATGAATTCGACTTGCCCTGTCCCGGAATTTGATGGCCGAAAAATTTTTGAAGATCATAACGAGCTTTATAAGTTCAGTATTGACCATCCCGATAAGTTCTGGTCCAAATTGGCCGTCAGTCGGCTGGACTGGTTTAAGGAGTTCGATCAAGTAAGCAACTGTGATTTGAAACAAGGGAAAATACATTGGTTTCTCGGAGGAAAACTTAACGTAACAGGTAAGTGTGGCTTTGCTATAGTTGTTGTTGTTACGGTCGAATTAGTTTCATTCAGCATTGAATAATCACAGCAGTAGTAACAGATTGATTGTCACTAGAGAACAAGTGACAACATGTCCCATAAAAAATTTAACACTCACCTTAAACAGCGCCCATTAATTCTGTCGTTTGATTAATTCCATAGTTTCGAGTCCTCGTAACAATTTTTTGGCTTCAATTCGTCCTATTTCATTTTTATAGGGTTTTTCAAGACTGTTCCGAGTGCTACAATGATGATAGGCACAACTATTTAATTTCTTTCAATAACTTTTTACTTATTTCTTAATACTGTAGAGTAATAATTAACAAGATCTCGTCGCCAATTCCTTACGGGCAAACCACATAGCAAACAGCCGTTCTCTTTTGATGATCGAAGTTAAGTAGCATCGGGCCAAGTCAGTACTTAGATGGGGAACCACATGAGAAGAGCGGGTACTGAAAGCAACCTACAATCCGAAATATATCTAGGCTTTAAACAATCCACAAAGGGTTGACAACGCGTAAAAAACAAATCAACGCCAAGTCATTAATTAGTGTAGTGAGGGGTTTCCCAAAGTGGGCGGTATCTGAAGCGGGTGGAAAACCCATACAGCGCTGAGGAAAAGCAAGCGGCTGGGTGGTATTAAAACTAAGTTACATATTTTTATACTTATATATACTTTTTATATATATACTTTATTTTCATATATATATATATATATATATATATATATATATATATATATGCAAACGCGTTCAGGAAACTTTCATTGAAGATAGATTTTACTTAAAGGAACGATTAATTAGCTTATCTTTATACCCCTGCCTAGTGGCGCCAGGGGTGGCGGTCCAGCCATAGCCACCGAAACCGTGATATCACCCCTGGTCGGCGGCTGATGAAGACAGGGTATCGCACGTGCTAACACACGTTGTATGTTAAAATATATATATATATATATATATATATATATATATATATATATATATATATATAAAGAGTGAAAATTGGAGATCGAAAACATTTTGTCCGTGTCATCCACCTTCATACTGTAACAACTCTTATTCTATGCGCCGTGTCCCATCATGGATTTGGCGATCATGACTCTCCACAATTTCCTGTCTTTTGTAGCTCTTTTGTCCAGTAGCTTATTTTCTTTGTTCCATTTAATCTTTATCTAAAAAAAAACTATTATGTAAATTTTTGTAACTTTGTATAATATTTATGCATTACACCCTAATCTTTATTCGGTAAAAATTTCATTGCTAATCATGCATTACTTTTTATGGAATACACATATTTATGTCTTTGTTGTTTCTGTTCCTTATATTATGGCCGCTACTGTATATATATATATATATATATATATATATATATATATATATATATATATTGTATATATGTGAACATTGAATTAACGTCCAGAGGCAACAGTCTTTCATGATAAACGCAATCGTCATGCCCTGACGAATGTGTTTAGCATTTAACTTAGAAGTAAAATGTAAAATAGGGAAATTATTTTTCACGTTACTTATTAAGCACTTCCCCCAAAATTCAGTTTATTTTCTTTGTTCCATTTAAACCTTATTTAAAAAAAAAAAACAAAAAAAAACTATTATGTAAATTTTTGTAACTTTGTATAATATTTATACATTACACGCTAATCTTTATTCGGTAAAAATTTCATTGCTAATCATGCATTACTCTTTATGGAATACACATATTTATGTCTTTCTTGTTTCTGTTCCTTATATTATGGCCGCTACTGTATATATAAAAAGAGTGAAAATTAGACAACGCGGAGATCGAAAACATTTTGTCGGTGTCATCCACCCTCATACTGTACCAAATCTTGTCCCATCATGGAGTTGGCGATCATGACTCTCCACAATTTCCTGCCTTTTGTATCTCTTAACAAATTTTGTCTTTCTGCTATTTTTTCCTAAACCTTGTTCCGCCATCCATTTACTCAAGCTCACTAAATAGGTTATGCGTTTCTTTCCTCTGTCCTTCTTGTCTTGAATCTGTCCTGTGAGTGTCAGATTTTCCGAGCCCTCTTTCCTCATTATGTACCACGAAGTGTCTATGGATGTCTAGAATCGCTAAAGATGGCGCCTGGGTGACAAATGGGGCGACAGTTTGACAGTTTTGGAACCACTGACATAACATCCTCAATTTTTTTCCCAGTTGATCCAAAACTTCGGGTTCTTGTTGGAGACTTTGACTGCGTTCATAAACCCTACCCTCCCCATGATCTTGTGCCAGACTAATATATTTTTCTCTCCTTTCACTCGGGGCTTAAATGAACAGATGTATTTCTTAAAATGCCCATCTAGTCAAGACGTTGGCGTTCGTGGCTCTTCACAGCTTCCTTTCCTTTTTAATATCCGTGAATTGCCGCGTATTCTTGGGAGAAATAGTTGCGTTTTTTCCCCAATTGATTAATCTACAGTCTTGAAATTCATAATAGTCGTTCATCTAGATTGACTATTATGATTTTCTAAGCGCAGCTTAGGTGTGGCACAAGGCCGAGATTATTTGAGTACGATGATAAACTACATCCGCGTCCAGGGTAAGACGATAAACTACGTCCAACAGCAAGGCCTCTGATCAGGAGGTTTTGAGGAGCGTGGAACCACCTCTTAATTACTGGTGTTCACAGGTCCACTCTGACCCAGGGTGGTAGTATCTCTTAGGGTCCCAACTATGGGCAAACTGGGGCCAATACACTATGTTTAAAAATAGGTTTTAATACCAGCAATAAAATTTTTAAAGGAAAAATTATTACCAGCAATACATTTTTGAAGAAAAAATTATTACCAGCAATATATTTTTGAAAAAGAATATTACCAGCAATATACATTTGAAGGAAAAAATATTACCAACATTACATTTTTGAAAAAAAATATTAGCAGCCATACATTTTTGAAAATAAATTTTAGCAGCAATACATTTTTGAAAAAAAATATTAGCAGCCATACATTTTTGAAAAAAAAAATATATTACCAGCAATACATTTTTGAAAATAAATATTACCAGCAATACATTTTTGGAAAAAAAAACATTACCAGCAATATATTTTTGAAAAAAATTATTACCAGCAATATATTTTTGAAAAAATTATTACCAGCAATACATTTTTGAAAAAATATTACCAACAATTTATTTTTGAAAAATAAAATATTACCAGCAATAAAAAAATCTTCTCAGCATTAAATAACCCAATGAGATTGATATGCCGTAAAACAAACCAAACCAAACCAGTCTATCCTGTTATTTAACCCATAGTTAATCGTTATTTGTATATTTGATTAAAATGTAATTTACTATCTAATTACTATACGTAAAATATTCATTTTATTTTACTTAGAATTTTTTAAAATGCCAGATCTTTTCCGGACGTAGCCGATCATGGCTATCCGTACATTCCTTATTTTTTAATATCTGTGAATTGCCAAGTGATGCGTTTTCAGTTCAATGTCGTCTTTCCTCTAGACTGGCTGCCAACTGAAACTAGAAAGTTCAATCTATCCTGTTATTTATCACATAGCTGTTTGGGTGTAAAACAGATGGATTCATGTCTTTTCCAAACATTTTTGTGTGAAAGTGATTACGCTTTCCTTCCTAACCTTTTCTTTGAAGTAGTGAGGAATGTCAACAACTTGAATACGCCGTTATTTTCTCTTCGAGTTACATGTGCTATCAATTTTAGCTTTTGCTGCTATTGGAAGTCCTCAAGTAATGTCGTTTCTGTCATTTGGTGCAGCTGTTTGTTTATGGTCCAGTATCACCAGTCTACAAGGTTCGAAGAAGAGTGGCCCTCGTTGAAACCTACAGGCTTCATTATGACTTGAAAATGTCTTAAAATAATTGTCGGACTTTGTCCATTTCATAATGTGTACGTCATTTGTTTACATTTGGATACGCCATGAGCAGATATGAATGTACGTGAGAGATTCATGAAAGATTAAAGTTTAAATACAGTAAAATCGACCTTGCTAAATGGGCCGAAATGGTTAAGGCACGTCAGGCTATATGAAGGTTGCGTATAGGATACAGGTTCAAATCCTGTAGGAGGATGAATATTTTCTGTGAAAATTTCTCGGACATTCAGGCCGGTAAATGTTGTTTAATACTGTTTATTATGAACAAAGCATTTACTTAAATATTTGTATCTATAAAAAGAACGTATAAACATAAAAATGATTTAAAAAATAATTATCGGACTTTGTCCATTTCATAATGTGTGACGTCATTTGTTTACATTTGAATACGCCATGAGCAGATATGAATGTACTTGAATATTGTAGTTTAAAGACAGTAAAATCGACAAATTTTAACCGAACGATCATCTGTGGCTCAATCGGTTAAGGCACGTCAGGCTATATGACGGTTCCGTATAGGAAACAGGTTCGATTCCTTTCGGACGACGAATATTTTTTTATGAAAATGAGCAGATATGAATGTACGTGAGAGATTCATGGAAAATTGTAGTTTAAAGACAGTAAAATCGACGTGGCCGAAACGGTTAAGGCACGTCAGGCTATATGACGGTTGCGTATAGGATACAGGTTCAAATCCTGTAGGAGGATGAAAATTTCTCGGACATTCAGGCCGGTAAATGTTGTTTAATACTGTTTATTATAAACAAAACGTTTACGTAAATATTTGTATCTCTAAAAGAGAATGTATAAACATAAAAATGTCTTAAAATAATTGTCGGACTTTGTCCATTTCATAATGTGTGACGTCATCTGTTTACATTTGATACGCCATGAGCAGATATGAATGTACGTGAGAGAATCATGAAAGATTGTAATTTAAAAGCAGTAAAATCGATCTGGCTAACCGAACGCTCCTCTGTGGCCGTAAATATTTGTATCTCTAAAAGAGAATGTATAAACATAAAAATGTCTTAAAATAATTGTCGGACATTGTCCATTTCATAATATATATATATATATATATATATATATATATATATAACTAATGTTTGTATCTTTTCTGTTAGAGTTTCTAGGAGTTTCGGACTATTATCTTCATCTTCGTTGTTTTTATCACAACCTTTCGGTTGTTGTGCCTTCCAACCTTCATCAGGTGTATATCGTTCCGGGTAACCCATGGGGAGTTCCGAACTGAAACCTTTATTTAATCTACGGTGATAGAATATACTCGTTCCACTGTCTCGGTATGTCTATGTCTAGACATATTTTTTAATACTATTCCGTTATTCTTCTCCCTGTCCTACCGATAATGATCCCAACTGCCAATGCGGGCAATGACAAACAATGGGGCATCTTCTAGCTTGCCTCAAGCTTTGTAGATTCATGCCCACAACAACCTTGAATCGTTAATGCTACGGTCAAGGTTCACTAGATGGTTGTAGTGTAGCGGGTCGATTAGAATAAAACGCAGATATTTCAAGTGTTCAGTATCTATTAATTCTACTTGCTGAAACTAGGC